GTAGTAGTAGTAGTAGTATAGTAGTAGTAGTAGTAGTAGTAGTAGTAGTAGAGGAGTAGTAGTAGTAGTAGAGTAGTAGTAGGAGTAGTAGTAGAGTAGTAGTAGTAGTAGTAGTAGTAGTAGTAGTAGTAGTAGTAGTAGTAGTAGTAGTAGAAGTATGAGTAGTATTAGTATGAGTAGTATGAGTAGTAGTAGTAGTAGTAGTCGTAGGAGTAGGAGTAGTAGGAGTAGTAGTAGGAGTAGTAGTAGTAGTAATATGAGTAGTAGTAGTAGTAGTAGTAGTAGTATGAGTAGTAGTAGTAGTAGTAGTAGTCGTCGTAGGAGTAGGAGTAGTAGGAGTAGTAGTAGTAGTAGTAATATGAGGAGTAGTAGTAGTAGTAGTAGTAGTAGTAGTCGTAGTAGTAGTAGTAGTAGTAGTAGTAGTAGTAGTAGTAGTAGTAGTAGGGGAGGCCGTGGGAGGCTTGCCGTTCCTGTTCCCGTTCGCGTATCTTGGGTCGGCTTGAAGGCGCAGGGGGGGTAGACGGGCACGCGACCGGGCGGGAACGGAACGGGAACGGGAACGGGAACGGGAACGGGAGCGGGAACGGGAGCGGGAGCGGGAACGGGAACGGGAACGGGAACGGGAACGGGAACGGACCTATAGGGCTTTCTCGCGCTTTTACGGGGGTCCCCCCCTCCCAGGCACTGGCCGGCGCGCCTGGGCCTGGCCTTCCCGCGCCCCCCCCCCGCCCAAAGCCGCGCCTGCCAATATGGTCACACCCTGGCCCGGCCGGGGGCAGCCGTCCATCCCCAGACAGGATCGCGTCGTAGAAAATCACGGAGGGGAAAAACACACAGACACGATGAATCGTCGACTCCCAGGAACATGTGGAAAAATATGGGAGTTGGGGGGAAGACAAAAACCCAGAAAATATTGAAAAAATGTAGGGAGTCCTGTTATTTGTGTGTATTTATTTGTGTGTCCCAGTTCCCCTTCAAAAAAATCAGTACGGGAGGTTTTGGGCGATTTTCGGCCTCGGGGGGCCCTCGCCGGGCCTCGGGGCCGTCAAAAAACGACCCAGGATGAGAAACCGGTCCTGGGGAACGGGTCGGGACTTCCGGGGACCCCGTCCTGAAAAAGTCAGGACGTCGCATGTCTGGGTCTGCGGGTTTCCCACAGTTCCGAATCGTGGGAAACCCATAGGTTGCCAGACTCCCTGTAGGGGCTTCTGGCAACCTGCGGGCTTCCCAGTATTCGCAGGCCCGCGTGCAGCCCTGGAAAAAAGACATAAACGTTGGGAGCTCCGGGGCCACGCCTGCGTGCAGCCCTGGAAAAGACATAAACGTTGGGAGCTCCGCGCGGCGTTCGTGGATCTGCGCTGGACCGCCGTCCCCTGGCGCGCGGATTGCGCCAGGGGCGGCGCGCCCCCGCCAGGGGGCCCTCCAAGAAATCCACGCGGAGCCCCACAAGTTCGAGTAACCCCAGGAAGCATTTAAGAACCCCCCCGGCGATATCGTAGCACCGCATTTGTTATTCGGTATTCCGAAGGGCCGGAATAACCGAACGATAGCTGTAGCACCCGGACACGATGATGATGATGATGATGATGATTATGATGATGATGATGATGATGATGATGATGATGATGATGATGATGATGATGATGATGATGATGATGATGATGATGATGCGGATATGGATGATGGTGCGGAAGGGTTATCGACTTGCCGGAGGGGGGGGGTTCTTAAATGCTTCCTGAGGTTAGGGGATCGACCACAGAATTGACGTACCCCCGAATCGACATCGTCGTCGAGTGCATAACGAATACATATAAGAATTCCCCTAAGAGCCGACAACCATGGTTCACATACGCCTGCAGAGTCGGCGGCACTTCCCACTCTGGGACTAAAACCACGTCTGTACTCGATCTCCTATGTCGAAAAGCTTACGCTCGGGCCCCAGGCATGCGACGCCCTATTTGTTCTATGCGGGCCCCCCGGAAGTCCCGACCCCTTCCCCGGGACCGGCTCTTCCTCCTACAGTGGGGGGCCACGCCAAGAAACACCTTGCTTGCCTCCAGGGTGCCCTGGGTTTCTTGGGTTTCGATGGTTTTGTGATGGAAAGCGCGACGTTCCCGCACCAAAAGTCAATGGACCTCCTGGGGTCTCAGGGTTGGGTTTCTTGTGGGAGGCTTCTGTTTTGTGGTCGAGCCCCCACTGAATGACCCGTGTCTTGACGCGCCCGAGGCCCGGCGAGGGCCCCCCGGGGCCGAGATGGGCCCCCCAAACCGCCCGCCCCGATGCTAGATGTCTTCTACGACGACACCACGCCTTGGGCAGCGCCTGCTCCTTCGCAGGAGGGCAGCGCCGGCCCCGGCCCGTGCGGGGCCGGCGGCGGCAGGTGCGCCGGCCCGGCGCAGGTCGAGCAGTGGCGAAGCGCCCTGGCTCGCCTATAGCGCTACCAAGCAATGTTCCAAGGACCTTTTGTCAAGCAGTGGCGAAGCGCCCTGGCTCGCCCATCATAGCGCTACCAAGCAATCTTCTAAGAATTTGTTGGTGTTTCCACGAAGTGCTCCTGGAACATTTCTGGCGGAGTCTGTCTTGTTCGAACACATCGGGCTTATGTTCTAAGAACCTTGTTTTTGTTCTAAGAACATCTGTGGGTTCTAAGAACATTTCGTGGTAGGACTACGGGAATGCCGGGACGGTCGGTCCCTGCTCAATTTTGTGGTCTGCGCGAAATCTTTTTATTACACCAGAGGAAAACCCAATCAGTGGATGGTTTGATCGAGATCGACCGGGAACCCGGGAACCTGGAACCCACAGAAATCGGCCCGGAACCAATAGCCAGGAACCCAGGAACCTGGAACCGGGAACCCGAGAACCCAGCCAGCCACCAAAATCGGCGGGAAATTTTCGCCAATTCTTTCAATTCCTGCTGGGACCCTTTCAGTGCAGACACTGATTGGGGACTGTCTTGTTTTAGTACATCGGGCTTATGTTTTGAGAGCATTGCTTTGTTTCTTCGAGCATTTTCGGGTTCTAAGAACATGTCGTCCCAGACCCCCGACGCCATGATGTTTTCATTACGTCGACCCCTGGAGGTCTCGCCCCGTTCCCCTGGACCGGTTTTGCCTCCTGAGTCGTTCTTTGACGGTCCCGGGGCCCTGCGAGGGCCCCCCGAGGCCGAAAATGGCGAACAACCTCCCGTCGTGATATTTTTGTCACTGCCCGAGGGGGTCTGGGGTGCCAGGCCTGTAGGCATGCCGGGACGGTCGGCCCCTGCTCGCGCAGGGCGCGCTCGGCGCGCCGGGGGGCAGCCTGCGGCCCGCGGCCTCGCCGCCCGCCGCTGGGCGGTCGCCGTCCGCGGCCCCGCCCGCGGGCGCAGGGCCCGCGGCCGCGGCGCCCGCGGGGTCGCCGGCGTCCGACAGCCTCGCCGCGAGTGCGCAGATCGGGGGCGACAGCCCTGGGTCCCAGACCCCCCTCGGGCAGTGAAGAAATCAGGACGGGAGGTTGTTCGCCATTTTCGGCCTCGGGGGGCCCTCGCAGGGCGCCGGGACCGGCAAAAAACGACCCAGGAGGCAAAACCGGTCCAGGGGAACGGGTCGAGACCTCCAGGGGTCGACGCAGTGAAAATATCATGACGTCGGGGGTCTGTGCTTGGGTCCCAGAGATCCGAGGATTCATCGGCACGAACGGAACGGGCACGGAAAGAGTGGGCGCAGTGCCCAACAGCAGTTCCTGTTCATTCTGAACAGGACTCGCTGTCGGTGTCGCCGCGCCCTGTGTACGTTTGAGAGAGAAGGCCGCCTGCCCAACGGCCACTGTTGGTTTGGGACAGCGTTTGTTGGGGGGCATTGTATTCATTTTTACGTACCCATTTCGGGCGTCCAAATCTTGTGGTGTTCCAACCAAATTTAGCTTTGATCGCCAGAAAGAATCTCGAGCGCCAAGAAAGCACTCCGAAACTGGAGGGCTTTCACGTGTCGGGCCCTGGGAGGCGATACTCGTTCGACAGTGTTTCGATACTTTTCTGGGTGCTCGAAATTATCTTTGGGGTGTCGTCCTTAAGTACGAAGGGAGCAACATAATCGAGGATATGATTTGTTCAATCCGGCGTTTTTTCTTGTCTTTTGGCTTCAGGAGCTCGTTATCGTACCCGGGGACCGTCAAAAATTGATCGGGACGGGAAACCACCCCCAGAGAAGGAGTTGGGACTTCTGGGGGCCGCGAATTGAAAGAATCATATCGGCGGATGGATGTCAGGAGGTGAAGAAAAAACGCTATAAACGTAAACCTTTGGCGCTCCGCGCGGATTTCTTGGATCCGCGCTGACCCCCCCGGCGGCGCCTCTGGCGAAGACCCTGGCGCGCTCCGAGTGCCAGGGAGGGGGGCCCAGCGCGGATCCAAGAAATCCGCGCGGAGCGCCAAGAGTTTATGTGTATGTGTTTTTCTCCTACTGAGAGTCTGACGTCTCCGTTCTTTCGAGCGGGGCGTTGTCTTGCCCGGTCTCGTCCCGAGAGAGGAGATTTGGAGCTTTGGTCGTGATATTTTTCCCCACGGTTCCACTTTTGCGCCACGTCGGATCTCAGGGGATGGCGGCGAATAGCCCAGTGGAGGGCAACATGTGTATCCAGAGGCGCCGATGGCCTGTGCCTTCGGCGAGGCTCCCTGGCGAATATGTGCAATGCCCGCTCCTGGGCTACTCGCCCCCATCGTCGCCCCCGAGCATAGCCGCCTCGGGGAGTCGATGGCGAGCCAGAGCGGCAACGAAGTCAGCGCCTGCGCCGACTACAGCTCGGAGGAGGGAAAGCTGCACCCGCGTGAGCTCTCGGAGGTCCGCGTGGAGTTGTCGGATCTGCGCTGGGCCCCCCTCCTTGGCGCGCGGAGCGCGCCAGCGGCGGCGCCGGGGGGCCAGCGCAGGTCCGAGGAATCCGCGCCGGCCCTCGATGGCTTCTGTTTGCGCAGCCGTTCCTTCTTCTGCACAGCGTGGAGGACTCCACCGAGCTCGAGAAGTGCGACTACTTCGAGGTCGTGGCGCCGAGCAACAGGGGAGGGTCCCCCGCCGCGTCCCCGAGCGGCCCCGTGGACGCGCTGGACAGCATCCTCGCAGGGAGGCCCACACCGACGAGCAGCACGCGGCAGTCCCCCGCCGCGTCCCCGAGCGGCCCCAGGGACGCGCTCGACGGCCTCCTCGGAGGGCGGCACACGCCAGCGGCGAGCAGCGCGCGCGGGTCCCCCGCCGCGTCCCCGAGCGGCCCCAGGGACGCGCTCGACAGCCTCCTCGGAGGGCGATCCACGCCAGCGGCGAGCAGCACGCGCGGGTCCCCGAGCGGCCCCAGGGACGCGCTCGACAGCATCCTCGCGGGGCCGTTCACGCCGGCGGCGAGCGGACACGCGGGCCTCACGCCGGCGTCCGAGGCGCCGCGGTCCGCCGCTTCGGCGGGCACCGTCGGCCGCCGCTCCCCCGAGGCCGCGCGGTCGCCGGGCGCCGGCCGCGCCGCTGGGAGGGCGGGCCACGGCGCGGACGCGGACGACTACGCGGACGAGTCCTTCGACGAGGACGCCTCCATCCCAGAGTCCATCTGCGCGGCGGAAGGAGGCAGGGTCGACGGCGCGGCCATGCGCGCGTGAGTCGAGCAGGGGGTCGACTGCAGAATGGAGTTTCCCCACGCTTGATTTGCTCGTCGAATCCATGGAACAATCTCGGGGGCTCCCAAACGGGGTGGTGACCACACCGTGTGGTGAGTCGGTGGGGATTCGGGGTCACCGCACGGTGTTGGGACTTGGGTCGTTCTCCGAGGATGTCTCGGGCGACTGGAGCCTCCAGGGTCCCAAAACCGTGTGGTGACGGACCGTGCGGTGAGGTCTTTGCGGATTTCGAGGTCACCGCTGGGTCTGTCACCACACGGTTTTGGGACACCCAACAATCGTAGGATGTTCCGAGATCTGCGAGCATTCTGCGTCGGACTCGACGGGAAGGTCAAGTTTGGGATAAGTCACTTCTGCAGCAGTCGATCCTCTGCTCGAGTGAGCTGCCAGCGTGGGACTGCGCTCGATCGCCCTCGCTTCCAGGGAGGCGCTCGGGAAGCGAGCGCCCGATGGAGACGCTCGGGAAGTATATGTTCGGGCGCCCCAGGTGGGCGATCGGGAGGCAGTTTCCGCCGCCCTGGCGGCCCGCGTAGGCCGCGGCGTAAGGTCGTTGATTGTGTCATCGTGCCTGAGACCCCCTTCTTCTCGCCGCTCACCGGGAGGGCAAAGCAGCTGCACGAACACAATCTGTCGGAGGTCAGCGCGGACGGCTTGGGTCAGTGCAGGGCCCCTGGCGGCGCCTCCTGCGCCGCCCCTGGCGCACTCCGCGCGCTGGGGAACTCCTGGCACCAACCCGAGAGATCCAGGCGGACCTCCGAAAGGCTGTGCGTGCCCTGTTGTTTGGTCCTCTGCCATCCCCTCCGGCGGCTCCAGCGAGGGGTCCGGCAGTGACGGAGCCTGAACGTTCGCTGGCTCCATTCGGGGGCAACGCCATCAAGGGACAGGCTCAGAGAGGGGACGCATCGAGCCCCCATCGCCCACTGATCGCCGAGAAGGGCCCGATAGCCCACACGGCCCAGGGGCGTGCGGTCTTGTGATCGGCGACACATCGCTGATCTATCGGCGATGCATCGCCGAGTCCAGGTCGACGTTTCTCCCCCTGGGTCAGTCCCACTCCCTTGTCGCTGGCCCTCATGGCGTGAGCCCTTGGGGCGCCCTGTCGACGCGCGCTCCGAGGGGAAGGAGCGCCCGCGCCCGGCAAAAGTGCGGAGGACTTTCGCCTTTGGAGGCCTGGGCGCCCACGTCCTCATCGAGAATTGATGTACCCCAGAACTGATTTCCTCCTCGACTCTACAGAACAAGACGCAGCATGTTTCATGGCTTCGGCGAAGAAGACAAGTTTGGGGCAAATCGATTCTGCAGTCGATCCCCTGCTCGACATGAGGCCGACGGCGACGGCGACGGCGACGACGGCGGCGACGGCGACGGACGCTCGCTGGCTCCGCGCGACGAGCGGGGCGGCGGCTCGGCCGCCGCGCGAGCTGCGCGTGCGCGGGCCGCCCCGCGCGCCCGTGGGGGCCCCGCCGGTGCGCGGCGAGCGCGTGCGCTCTTCGCGCACCGGTCTCCGCAGGCGGGCGCGGTCTCTGATCGGCTGCTGGGCTGGGCCGCGGCTGCTTCGAGAAGAGGGGGAGAAGGAGGAGGAGGAGGAGGAGGAGGAGGAGGAGGAGGAGGAGCGGGAGGAGGAGAAGGAGAAGTAGGAGGAGGAGGTGGAGGAAAAGCAAGAGGAGGAAGAGGAGGAGGAGGAGGAGGAGGAAGAGGACGAGGAGGAGGAGAGGGAAGAGGAGGAGAAGGAGGAGTCGGCCCCGACTCGGTGTCGTTTAGCCAATCTCCAGACTCAGGAAACGGGGGTCCACGCAGACGGGGGCTTGGGTGCAGGATCCTGCAGGGCATGACTGACCCGTGTCTGGAGTGACCCGAGGTCAGTAACGGCATGCCGATGATAATAAAGGGACCCCCCTCCCTTCAGTGTTTAGAGTTGATTATCGTCGTCCTATACAAAATTCAATTTGGGCGGCGAGCGCTGAGGCCGAACTTCATTATCACCTCGAAACGCTATGTTGAGATAGCAACATCAAGCGATGTTGATATAGCAACATCAAGCGAAGCGATCACACTTTTTCAGGATGTGTCAAGCGAAACCAATAATTTTGGGAGGCAGACTCAAACGAAACGAGCAATGTTTCAAGGATGTCTCAAGCGAAACCAAAAATTTTGGGAGGCAGACTCAAACGAAACGAGCAATGTTCCAAGGATGTCTCAAGGATGTTTCAAGCTAAACCAGCAAGTTTTTTCTTTTTATTTATATGTTTTATTATCTTCCTTTTTATATATGTATCTATCCCCGCGCGCGCCTGAACTTTTTTATCTCTGGGGTTGATTATCCATGGAAAGGGGAGCACATGAGCTACCCTACATGAGCACTTAAAAAATCAATTTTCATAAAGCGTTTGTAAATTAAAATTGATAGATTTGGAACTTTCCATTTTTCCGTTCTTCTTCTCTTCTTCTTCTTCTCTTCTTCTCTTCTTATTATTATTATATTTTCCTCTTCTTCTTTTATATTTCTATATGTCCTCACGCTCGCCTGAACTTTTTTATCCCTGGGGTTGATTATCCATGGAAAATGAAGCACATGAGCTACCCTACACGAGCACTTTCAATTTTCATAAAGCGTTTGTAAATTAAAATTGATAGATTTGGAACTTTGGATTTTTCCTTTCTTCGTCCTCTTCTTATTATCCTCTTCTTCTTCTTTCTTATTATTCTTCTACTGTATTCTTCTTCTTTTATATTTCTCTCTGTCCCCACGCTCGCCTGAACTTTTTTATCTCTGGGGTTGATTATCCATGGAAATTGAGGCACATGAGCTACCCTACACGAGCACTTACAAAAAACAATTTTCATAAAGCGCTTGTAAATAAAATCTAATCAGATTTGAAACTCGAGATTTGTTCTTCTCTTCGTCCTTCTCCTCCTCCTATCATTTCTTTTATTTTATTCTGTATTATTTTTATTTTTCTTTTTTATATATAGCTTCCTCCATTCCTCCGCCCGCCTGAACTTTTGTTTGCAAGCGTCCATTCCTCCATTTCCGAGGATGTCTCAAGCGAAATAAGCAATAGTTTGACTGTGTCTCAAGCGAAATAAGCAATAGTTTGCGGATGTCTCAAGCGAAACAAGGGATTTGTCGAGGATGTCTCCAGCGAGATTAGCCATTGTTGAGGATATTTCTACGAAAACTAAACGCCAAGGATGTCTCAAAACGTGCTCGGCTTGGTCTGCTCTTGATCATCTCTTACTTCGAGATTATGCTGAGGTCTGCTGGGCTATTTTTATTATCTCTCCCTGAACCCCGAACTTTATGATCCCCTAGTGTTTATTCTCACGGGCATGAGGTTAGATCCCCGATCATCATCCCCACCGGGCCAGCCTGGGACAGGCCACTCGATGTTGTTGCACACATTTCACCTCTCACGTGGAGATCAGGGATAAGCGGTAAGAATGGTCGAGGGGCTCATGCAATTCCTCGATCACGCGAAAAGGGCCCCCAGAGACCCAGGACGGCCCAAAGGACCCCATTCCCTTGGCAACCCTTCTCGCCATGGCGAGGAGGCGGAGGAGGAGAAGGAGGAGGAGGAGGAGGATGGGCGATCAAGACCTAGGCTGACGGCACGGGGAGGGGCTCGATGTATACACCATGTCTTATGTCGGCCAAGGTGCTCGGTGTGTAGAAGCCCCAGCTGCCCAGCCGGTGGGGTGCTGGAGCGTCTATCCTTTGTTCTATATTTCTGAAATCCAGGGGGGTGCGAACCCCCCCCCCGCAACGGGACCCCCCGGATCCGTGGCACGGAGGGAGGCCGGAAATCTTTGCCAAGGCGTGCACGCAGGCGGGTGGCAGTTCCAAATCGATCGGCGAAAGGCCTAAGAGCCACCCAAGACGGTCCAGGATGGCATCCAGCTAGCCTTGACCCCCGCCGGATGCCCGAAGATCACCCCAATCACCCCAAAGAGGCGCTCGCACCCCATGTATGTATATCTATATATATATATATATATAATGTTTCATTGGTTTTTAGTTAATTTTCGGATATTCGTTAATTCGGCCTTCCACGCGTCCGGGAACGTTGGAAACGCACTGACAACCGCTCCTAGACGGCCCAAATGAGCCCCATGAGCTCCCGCAGCGGTCCCCCAATTGCCCACAAGAGTCCCCATGACGGCCCAAAACTGACCCACGACGGCTGGCGCAAGGCCTTACAGACGCCACAAACGGTTCAAGATGGCATCATGCGGTCCAGGCCTTTGCTGAACTCGAAGGCGCTTCGAATGTCACCTCCGAGAGGCGCTCGAAGCCTTCAAAATCTTGATGTTTCTATGGTTTTTTGTATGCTTTTCGACTATGTCCTCGTTCGGCTTGCCAGGCGTCCGAGAACGCAGGCGAAGCACCGAAAACCTTTCCCCACTCCAGAAAAGCCGTACGGAGGCCCAAGACAGCTCCTAAAATGCCCGCAACCGGCCCCATGACCGCCCCAAACTGACCTCAAGGCGGCCGGCGGAAGGCCCAAGGCACGCCCAAGACGGTTCAAAATGGCATCAAGTTGGCCTTGACCTTCGTCGGATGCCTTGAGGCGACCCGAAATGTGCCTCCAAGACGCGCCCGAACCCGAAAACACTGATGTTTCAATGATGTTGTAAGATTTACTACCATTCGTTTTTCCGGCCTGCCGGGCGTCCGAAAACATTGTCAAATGTCCGAACACCGTTCCAA